CTAGCAATATGCTGGTTGTGGTCAATAGGTGCTGGCACAAAACTAGACTCATACACAGTGCTTGCACAGCCAACTGAATCGTCTTGTGGCAGTGTGTCAGTAGCAGCATCGATCTCAAGCAATGAAGCTAGCTCGCCCTGGTCACAATTCCCCTGGCTAACTGTTTTCATGAGACCATAGAATGACAGAGAAGTAATGGTTACCAAAAACTGAGTCGGAGTGGGGTGGTCGTTGCTGCCGGATGACTGACGTATAATACCAAATAAACTTTCTAATGGGTCTTGGCTGGTCTTTGATGTCATTATGTATTTAAATGCTACTTTCTCTGTCAAATAAGAAAGCCTTTCTAGCACACTGATTATAGTCACACGCAGTCCAGTCACTGTGAAGTCACTCAAGAAGCCTCCTGTGTTCTTAGCATGAGCTTCCCATTCATTTAGGTACACCAGGAAATCCGTCAGGAAATCGACTTCTCTTGATCCTGGGCGAAGAGCTTCAGCTGTGTACCGGGACGTCTTTGCACATATCACGCTGTGTATCTTGCTGAAAGTGAAGGTATATTTGATTGTAGTGACAAATTTAATAACATTAGTAACGGCTTTTACAAAACTGTTCTGGAAAAATTACACCTTGAACCATGAATTAAATGCTACCTCACCTCAAAAAGAGCTGTGTCGAAGTTATGCTTCCGCATATGCGTTCCAGCTGTTCTTTATATAAATGGAGGGCTTGAATAAGCTTTTGCAATATTTGTAAGGGACGCACTGTGCCCCTGGAAAACAAAAAAAATAACTACATTGGTAAGTGTGACAGAAAATAGCATATAGTTCGGAATAGCGTGCATGTTATGTTAAAAGACGTCACACGATAGTTACCTTTTTTGGCAACCTTTGTCATACAGCTCCCGCTGATGTAGGATCCGTGGCATAAAACAACTTGGCCCTTGAGTTTTTCAGTGAACCACTCATCTTCATAATCCTCTTGTGATATGGCACCACCACATAACTTTACAGAGTTTGTTTCCTTAAGGATTGTCTCAGCCTCGACTTCACTTCGCACTAGCACCTATTTCAGCAAGGTACCTCTAGCGTACACCTTGCAATATACGTCAGACGAAGAGGGAACGAACATCACTACTTTTTTCTGACTGTACTTCGATTTTTGCAGTCAGCACGGTTGTGCAGTAGACGATGCCGTCGTTATCCGGGAACTGATGCTTGCTCCAAAACAGGGAAGGAAGTCTCAAGGATGCAAACAAGTTTATGCTGGATTGTTTATCGTTTGAGCTTTCTGCAGCAGAGTGTAGATCACCCGATATATAGTCTGGACGCGCTTCCACGAGCTGGGCACATGTCGCAGGCGTTTCCGCCGAGTTTACGGCGCAGCCATCAACAGTCGCACCAATGGTACTAGAACGCACCTTCTCGCCTTGAACGCTTCTCGATCGCTTTCTCTTTCGGGTCGGTCTTTCTTGTGGTCTTTTTTGTCAAATACGACGCCAAGTTAGGCAGGATTGTAGGCACAGCGTCCTCTCGTAGGCAAGGTTTCCCACGTGGTGTGCGTACTTCTTCCCCTTCTATTACATGCACTATAGTCCCGTTGCACATACTTCGGCTCAAAATGAAGGTCACACACGGCAAATGTGTCGTCCAGGGCTTTGTACTCTCGATGCAAATTTCTTTCCCATTGCTTCCTCAGGGCTGCATCCTTCGGAACACCGAACAAAGTCGGCTTCTTGCTGCCTTTCACGTGGACGTTACCTGTACGACAGCCTGGCGCAAAACAGTGGTTTTGCCGCCGCGGAAGCATTTTAACCTTGTTTGAGGGTCAGTGCTTGTCAGGCCACATCACTGTTCACCTGAGAACCTAGGGGATTGAGGATGCAAAGCGCGACGAGTTCTCAAAGTAACAAAACTCGCACACACCGACCGCCACTCTAAACAGCCAGCAACTGCCCCAGCGCCAACGCTCGCTACATTTAATCCGGCGGTGGCGCCCTGCCACGGAGGCGCGCCGAAGCACGTTTGTGTGACATTGGCGGCGTCACCGCAATGTATGGCACCGGCCGGAGAGTGAGCCCACTACCCTATTCTAGCTCACTTTACCCGTGTTCAGCGATGCGTAAAACCCGATCAGGGAACCGACGCGCAGCTCACTGAAGGACACGGCAATCTATTATTATTATTATTATTATTATTATTATTATTATTATTATTATTATTATTATTATTATTATTATTATTATTATTATTATTATTATTATTATTATTATTATTATTATTACATTATTATTATTATTATTATTATTATTATTATTATTATTATTATTATTATTATTATTATTATTATTATTATTATTATTATTTTATTATTATCAAGTTATCTTGTGGATACGCATCGTTTCTTTCTTTTAGTACTGCTCGCCTTTCCCTCATCTGCAACACACACGGTCGCCGTCTTTCCTCCTTGTCCAAACAAAGAAAATAAGAGGAAAAGAAAAGAAAGAACGCTTGAAGAAACATCCAGAGAGAACTAGCATGTCGTTGCGGCTAAAAAGGAGGCCGCGCGCACACGTCCTTGACGTGACAAAAGAAAACGTGACGCGTGAAGCCAAGGTTTCCGCGTGCAGTGCCGTAACCATTTCCGATTTAGGGAGGCCCACCGTCGCGTAATTGTACGTGGCGGCGGCGCGACCGGTTGGCGCGTTTGTTGTTGTTCAAACGGTAGCGAAAGGTCCCGCGTATGAAAGTTTCGTGTATTTGCGACATTTATGCGCGTGCTGTAAATGTCTTGAGACTTGAATCATGCAGGGTCGGCGCCAGGATTATTTTACCCGGGGGGGGGGGGGGGGGCACTCAGTTAGTTTAGTTCCTGAGGGGGCGGGGAGCTTCCATTGTGTTATGATGACTATGTTCCCTCTTGGGGGGGGGGGGCAATGGGGGGCAGGCAAAAATTTTGCTCCATCCCCCTCCCCTGCCCACCCCTGGCGCCACCCTTGGAATTATGCGAGTCGCTAGCCGACCAGATATCGACGGTCATCTTGGTACAAATGTTTAGACATAAACATAGTCGGGCTGTGTGCTTGTTTGTTAGATAACTGTCTTTTTTGGCATGCGATTTGAGCAGCTACGTGTGTCTTGTCATGGGCGTCCGGATCGAGGATAGAGGGGCGAGGGACGGTGCGCCCCCCCCCCCCCTCACCAGATTTTCGATAATATTTTCTATGCAGTAGCATTAAGCTACACGGCTAGCTTAGCACTCTCGACATTCATGTAAACGTTGTGCGGTCATGTCACGGAAATTCGTCTACATGAACCGCCCCCCCCCCCCCCGCCCCCCCCGTATTTTGCTGAGGAAACCCCTGAAAAAGGTTCTACGGACGCCCTTGGCGTCTGTAAGTGGATGCGAGACTTCATTGATTTCCGGCAAGGCGCACGTTAGCGTGCAGCAGGCGACTCCCAATCGCTCAATGATTGAGGGATTGACAAGTCGCTTGTCGAAACGTCGGCTCGACAACCTATACATGGTATATAGCGTGGTTTAACCTCTCTCTCCTTCTTTCCGTCTTCCTCATGCTCACATCCCTCGTTCTCACCATCACTTTTCTTTCCCACCCTTGCGATACTAGGCTATCCTATGTTTTACCCTCTTCTCTCCTCACATGCCTCCCCACACGCACATCACTTAATTCTCATCACTCTCACTTCCCTTTAAACAGGACTCCCCTTGAAGAAGATAAGTCCGCTTGTTGAAACGTGAGCTCACCACAACCCCTATTTACGGATTTTTTCATCGCAAGTTTCGATCTTCCCGTTTTTGTCATGTATAATTTCATCATCAGCAGCATCAGTAGCCGCAGCCTGACTGCAGGGCAAAGCCAGAGTTATTCAATCACGTTGGGACAAAGCTAGGCCTCTCATATGTTCCGTCAATCAACTCGGCCCTGTGCTTGCTGCTGCCACGTTATTTAGAAGTGTGGCAGCTTGGGCTAGTGTCTTTCGTGTCCTTCTTGTCTCTGTGTCGTCGTTTTGTTCTCGCGCTATAACTATCGCCATGTCACGTTATACCCACAAACTTCCTAATCTCACCTGCCCACCTAACTCTCTGTCTCCGATTCACTGGGCCCGCTTGCCGATATCTGTTCTCTTCTTGTCCCTCAGGGTTAACATTTTCCTTTCCATTGCTCGCTGCATCCTCTACTTAAGTTGAACCCTCTTTATAATCATCTATGTTTCTGCTCAGCTAGTTAGTACCAAGTACATTTTAGTATATGTATAGCAAAGTGTGGGAAAGGGAAGCGTGGTTGAGTGATATGAGGGTGCCGAGGAAGGAAAGGAGGCCGGGAAGGCCACCAGCCCAGCCTTAACTCGTACCGCCAGCAGGGCGTAGGCAGAAATTTATTCCGGGGAGCGGGGCACCTTTTTGATGTGAAGTGCAGGCCAACGTTACTAGTGGGTTGGGCAGGCACAGGTGTTCGAGCGTCATTTTGTGATCTATGTGCTCTGGCAAAAACAAAAACAAATGCGAGGGTGGGGGGTGGGGGTGTACTCTCTTTTCTGATGATTTCCGAAATCTGACCCATCGAACTCAAACCGGTGGAAATGGTGCGTCCATAGCTTGGAAATCGCGGCATCTATAATTTCATTGAGCTGAAGGCCAGTGCTACATATAAGTTGAAACATTGTCATTGCGCACATATCCTAGCTCTTTTTCGAAACATTGCGCGCAGCGCAACGCGCTACAGTCGCGGATTCAGCTCGACACCAATACGACCAATATGTCACACCAGGTGTTCTGTGACTATATGTTTTGCTCGCGCAGGGGACGATGTCAAAATGGTTCGCTACAGGTCATTGAGCGTACTCGTTTTGATTCTAAGGGAGAAGGATGAGACAAAGACAAACACCGTGCCTAGAATATACTATTCTATGCATGCGTGCATAGGAACCTCCTTGCTGCGTGCTCTCAAGTCGTCGTGTACGCATTCATCGCATCGACATCGCCAGCAGCACTGTAGAGAGAAAATGGCGGCGTCCACCGAAGACGACGGCATGGGATCCACAGCACGGACTCTCGATTCAGATCAAGTGCATGTGTCCAAATGCCTCGAAGAATTTGAGTCATGCACGAAGAAACCGGAAACATTTCTCGAGTAAGTTTCAAAATGCAATTAGTGTTTACGTAAGGAAAGACAATCGGTCCAGAAAGTGAGACTGCCACATGTTCTGCTGGCGGTTCTGTTGATGCGCTTGTAGAAGTTTGTTGCTTTAACAGGTACTTTTTTTTCTTCCGCGTGGCAGGGTCCAGCTGGAGGTAGCTGAAACAATGAAGAAGTTAACGAAAGATCTGTACGACGTCGTGGACCAGTGGAAAGGAAAGACAAATTCCTCACCGAAAGCAGAACTGCCGTCACTGGTTGTTGACAACTTCGACGACGAACAGATCTGGCAGCAACTGGAACTGCGAAACACTCGCCTTGTTAAGGACCTGATTTCATCGGTGTCCCGAGTGGCAACCAAGTCTACTATTAGCTTTGGCGTAGACTTGGGGGAGCAGAAAAGTCAACAGGGACACGAGAAACATAACACAGGTGACACTGACAAGTTGGATCTCGGGGACAGCGCTGCGGAAGAGGAAGATGATGAAAACGATGACTTTGACTTCTCGAATGCGTCTGAAGATGATGAAGAGACTGATGAAGAAGCCGGTGACGACAGGACTGATGGCGGTGAACACGGTCAAGCACGAGATACACAACCGTCGTCTATCGTCGATGACGCGTTCTTCCGTCTTGCCGACATGGAAGCATTTGCCGATAGGGAAGAAAAGGCCATGGATGCTCCAGGAAGTGATTCAGACGAGGACGACGACATTGATTATTTTCGCGAGCTTTCGTCGGACGAAGACGATCCAAGAGAAAAGGTAAGCGCCTGGCTTACTTCATAATTACTGGCGAATGGTATAGGTGTTCGCTGCGCTGCTAGACACATCAGTGTCCGAAATTTCTGTATGTTGCAGCGCTAATCAAAGTTCCACATGGACTGTTAAACACTTCATGTAAGCTTGGAATCCACTATCTTCACATGCTTTGCTTATGTTGGGTAGAAACAAAAACAAAATTTATGCATACATTTATGCAGAGCAAATCATTAGTTCTTGGTATTGTAGAAAAGAACAGAAAAATTGTAGCTGTAGTGTTTCTGTGCAGGGTGGCCGCAATGCAACGTACAAAGACTTTTTTGATCCCCCTGCCTCCATGCCAGGCACCGAAAATGCCAAGAATGCTGGCAAGGCTGCCACGAGGTAAGCAGATTTGGTTTTATGCATGTTTTGGAAACAAGAGCTCAGTAAAAGCTTCATTCTATTGAGCTGTGGTGGTGTTGTAGAGTTCTGAGAGTCCCATAGACTGCCAAATGAACAAGTATATTGTTCATAAAAGAGATCAGCCTTGACTTTTTGCAAACAAAGGTAACGGAACCAAAGCTTTTTCATTTTTGGTTACATCGTGTCAGGCCACCTGTTCATTGGAGTGTTATCGAGCATGTGAGACCCCTTCTAGCTTAACTTCATTCCCGACTAGTGTTGGCCAAAGTGAATGGTAAGAGAAAATTAGGCTATCCAATCACACAATAATTGAATAGTATTTTAGAGGCTATGGGACAATGTATAGGTGAGATGAAAGAATTTGTAATAAATAAATATCACAGCCAGTTTGCCACTAATATTGTCACCGGAAGTCACTCAATTGCACTTAATAGCATTGGTAATGCCGTTTGATTACTTTTCAAAAAAGTGAGCTGCCTTGCTTTACCACAAAGGCCCTGCCACAGAGGTCTAGTGGCTAAGGTACTCGGCTGCTGACCCGCAGGTCGCGGGATCAAATCCCGGCTGTGGCAGCTGCATTTCCGATAGAGGCGGAAATGTTGTAGGCCTGTGTACTCAGATTTGGGTGCACTTTAAAGAACCCCAGGTGGTCGAAATTTCTGGAGCTTTCCATTACGACGTCTCTCATAATCATATGGTGGTTTTGGGACGTCAAACCCCACAAATAAATCAATTGCTTTGCCACAAAAGTCTCTCGATATACTTCAGCCACAGAGCTGTAGTTAGAGGAGCAGCTAGTTTGTGTTAGAAGCTGTTTTCCCGAGTAGATTACACAGACATTGAATGCTTTCTGTTGCTGCTTTTGGTACGGGCTACACCAGAAAAATATTTGCGAGGGCTTTCGGTGGTGTCACATTCCAGCTTAAAGTGCTTTTGAAACCCTAATGGTCTTTGTTGTACGGTGCAGGTGTATGTGCAAGCCAGGTTCAGGTTGCTTCCGATAGTATCAGTGTAACAGGGATTCACTGCAATGTAAAGTAGTATAAAACTGGCTAAGCGTAGATATTGTCTCATGGATTAAATATTTAAGACGAAGGATCGTGCCGACAGAAACATGCTAGGAAGAACTGTTGATTCTAATTATACAAGTGAAGTTTACACCAAATACCACAATAATAAAATTGTTGTGACAGGTCAAACTAGGCTCACAACATGTGACTGGACAGCCAACTACCGTCATGAATGGAGCTAAGCTTACACTTTATTGGGGTTGCCATGTCTGGGTGCGGGGTTTTTCCATTGTCATTTTTTAAGAGTACCTTGTCCATTATACAAGTTTTGCCAGCTGCTTTCTATCCTCACTTTTCTCTCACTCCTAATTTTATGCAGGATGAATGAACACAGAAAAACTAAACAGAATGGCACAGCAAAAGATGATGTTCAAAAATCATCTTTCGAGCAAAGCCAAGAATTTGTAAGTTTTTTCTTTTTGTTGTGTGACTTGTCTGGTACACCCACTTCCTTCAAATGTAGCTGTTCAAAACTGATGTTTTAGCAGAAGAATTTCAGTCACTGCCTCTAAGATTGATAGCACAGAGATAGTGTTTAGTTGAAGAACATTATAAAGTGTTGTGTCTTCAAACTCAAAACTCTAAAGTGTGTGTTACATTAGCAAAGTCCTCTGCATAAATGATCAGATGCTCAATATGCATTGAAATAAGTTTTTAGTGATTAATTTTTGGTGCATGCCATTATTATGATGGAAGTAATGCTGTTGTTATTTCTGTCACAGGCTGTCAAACTAAAGGAGCCACTTTAACCGTGTGTATAAATTAAAGAGGCAATAGGCATTTGTTTTAGTTACTCCCGAATCTTCTAGCTCAATACTATAACACTTGACCTAGTGGCTTCTTGCACTGAACTCACCTGTCTTTCATTGTTTGCATTTATCTGTCATTTAGCGCTCATTTCACGTTCATTTAGCGCTGTTTCACCAACTAGTCCAGCGAAAAATTCTTTGAATTATGTGTACCGCGGTATTGCCGTCTGAAGATGCTAAAAGCTACAATCATTACCTTCTCTTTCATTTGCTCCAGCAAAAGCACAAATGTGCTCTGAAAATCTGTTGTGTGCACGACTGCTTGCTTTTGTTGACCTGAAACTTTGAATGCTTGTCTACCTTGTGCAGATTAAGAAAAAAATCAAGCAGTTTGAGGAACGAAACCTCGAGCCACGACCATGGCGACTCCAGGGAGAGGTAGAAGCTACCGCAAGACCTGAAAACAGTCTGCTGCAGGAGCACATCCAATTCGATCATGCGACAAGACAGCGTGAGTACAATAAAGTTATTCCTAACTAAGCTGCAGCAGTCATCCTATGGCTACTAATTAAGGAGCATTAAACATGCCAATCTGTGAGCTTGTATCTAGAGTGTGCAAGGTCATTCACCCTTTATTCCAGCAAAGATAGACTAAATAAAGTCAAGACTCCATATATTATTCTTGAGATCACTTGTTAGAAGAGATAAGCACTTGTCGTTACCTTTTTGAGAGGTCACTGGTGTTTTAGGGTTGTGCATATGGCACTAAATGCTAGTTTAGCAAATAAAGAAAAAATCATAATTCTTTATGAATGTTGTGGTGCCATAGAAGTGTACTGGTGATGACCTGAATTCTGTCATAAATGAAAGTTAGCACACTGTACTCTGAGACGCTGTGGGTGCAGTATTACTTTGACGCTGATGGGTCATTGGTGCTTCGTTACACTATTATCGCACCATGCATACCAATTACTCAGCTCCTCACTTCATTGAATTGGGACTGGTGTTAAGAATGTGCGTGGAAGTAATCAGGCCACTGTCATTTCTGTTAATAATCATTGCACAGCGCATGCGAACACAGTGTCTTGTATGCGAACACAGTGTCTTGCACAGTGCATGCGAACAGCTTGGTGCTCTGTTTGCAGCTGTTGCCATCACTGATGAGACTACAAAGTGCTTAGAGGATGTGATACTACAGAGGATACGAGACAAAGCCTGGGATGACGTTGAACGAAAGACTAGGCCAACGGAGGAACCATTTGAGCTGCGCCGACGGGTCACACTGGATCAAGAGAAAAGCAAACTCAGTTTAGCACAGGTATCTATATTCATTTAAACTTTAAAAGAAAAAGGAGGGGGGGGGGGGTGAAGGAAGTTTCATGTTTACTGTCAAGCGTAATTGTAATTTTTTGGAGATTAATTGTGTGTTCAACTTGCACGGCACTATTTGCATTGAAGTACTGTTATCCGGCATGGGTGAAAATGTTTCATGCCCTTTGAACTGTCGTGAGTTTTTTGCAGCTTTGAGACTTATTTTAATGCATACTTGCACCCTTTGTACCACTAGGTTTACGAACAGCAGTTCTTGGAGAAGCAGAAGGCCGCTGATGAAGACGCACCTCCCAAAGAGAATCCTGCCCACGTGGAGATTCGAACAGCCATGCGGGACTTGTTCACAAAGCTGGATGCATTGTCCAACTTCCACATGATGCCAAAGCCTGTAAGTTTTGTGTATTTACATTTAGGGTGCTGCTTTCTAGCTGTTTAATACAGCTCAGTTTGGGTCTAGCACTCCTTCAAAAAGCAGTCTGCTTAACTAAATACCTCCCAAAAATACCTTCTTATTGTAGCACTCTTAGCTCTAATTTGACACAGGTGTAGAAAAAAATGTAAATATACTTGCATCCTAATTGCTAAGATACTTCGGAAAATGTGCTGTTTTGTCTGGATAAATGATATGCCAGTGTAATGTTATAGAACATTAGAACTGTTCTAACAATGATCACCCAATACATTAACCTTTTCTCTTGACAAAATGATTGTTATAACATACCTAAATGTATAGTATAGTATAGTATACCTTAAAATGTTGGCTTGATTGGTAAAGCTATTTTTCATAGATCTAAGGGCAGTATAATATTGCTAGGGAAGCTAATGTGTCTTTTTTTTTTTTTATGACAAAGCTTCACACTTAAAGAATTTCCTTGCCAGGGGTCAAAGCTGAATAGAACACATCTTTGAAGTGGTTGCTATGACAATTTTTGTGTTCCTTTTTCGTTCTCCACTTCTTGGATTTCTGCAACACATTTTGCCATATTTACACGACTGTACCCGAGCTTCTGCCAAATTTTTTTCTATCTGAAGTCGACTTTCATGAATGAATGAATGAATGAATAAAAAAAACTTTATTGTCATGTTACAATCGAATGCCTGAATTCAAGTTGTCTAAAAAGTGCGACGATGCGCACAATTCTTTTTTCTTTTTTTGTATACAATGAAAGGTCACCCCTCGCATTACGATTGTGGTCCCGTTACAGTCTAGTATGTATGGTAAATGTGAATTCAATGCATATTTTTATACGAGCTGCCATTTTGCCTGATTTATTTGGTGCATACATATAACATAATTATGAAAAATTTTTCTTCCTGTTATTACTCTCGCAGGTTTCAGCTGAGGTGAAGGTAGTGAGCAATCTTCCATCATTGAGTGTAGAAGAGGTGACTCCAGTAGGAGTGAGCGACGCTTCCCTCCTGGCACCTCAGGAGGTCAAGGTAAGAAAGTTAGCCGCACTTGAATTGTCAAACGTTTACATATTAGCAGAGGGCTGGAATTTGCAAGTGCTCTGTGGGTTTTTAGAGCCCTGCCATTTTACTAACACAGCCTGGTGTTACAAGTATTTTATAGTAAGTTCTTACAATGTGGTAATTAACCTCTTTGCTTGCATTTTGGCACCATACTATGCATCAAACATGCTGCTTGTGTAAGGTTGATTGACTGATGCCATAATTTCTTACAATTCTGCACCGGTACAATTCTGCACCGGTGTTTTACATTTCAGAAAGAAGTAGGCTTACTCAATGCTCTCTTTTATTTTATGCATTTAGAGTACTTTAAGGAAATATATATATATATATATTTTTACAAACTTATTATGGTGCTACTTGCCGTGGTAAATTTAAATCTATACATCTGTGTTTGCAGATATTCTTACTGACTTGTCTCTGCACTCTGCTCTGCAAGGTTTCCTATCAAGTGAGCTCGCTAGAATGCTTGTCGGTTGTAGGTTGACGCACATTTATGTAAATGTGTGTCACCTACTCTGCTCACCAATATGATGAAGTAGTAGGCCACCAAGAACATTTTGCTGTGAAATCGTTATCTTTTTGTTGTGTTTTGTAGCTTTTGCTCACCTTGCATATTTATGCAGCTTTTTTTATTGATTTGTTTCTTGCATGGTTGTTTAGTTTACGTATGGTACTTTGTCTGCTCTGACATGATTTGTATGTGCAATGAAAAAATTCATTCCAGACCAAGCCAAAGAGAGAGCTTGTCTCCAAGGGCGAGAGGACTCGCACACAGAAGCTCAGAGAACGAAGGCTTAAGAAAGCTCTCAGAAACGCCGAGCCGCCAAGGCTAATAACAAGGCTGGCAAAGTCTCTGAAGAAAAGAGGAAAGTGATCAAGGCAACCAATACAGAGCTTGCCAAACCTGTCAAGGGTTCAAAATCAGCCAAGGGTTCTAAAGCCGTCAAGGTATGTCTGCTTTAAACGTCGCTCTGCGGGCTTTCGTAGGTTTTGTACATCGTAGTATGATTTGGACAATACTGGCTATATATTGCTATACCACTAAAATAAAAATGAATTGGGCAGAGATTCTGTACGGAAAATGTGGTACACTGTTGATATGTTAAATATGTTAAGATGCATCAGGTTTATGGTAAAAATGCCTAGTGTTCACATGTCTGATATTGTTTAAATATCTTTGGATTGGTCAGGAGACTGAAGTCCATGATAGTGTACAAACATTTGTAGTAAAATATCTTTGCCTACTGAGCAGCTTTTTCAAAAAAGATTGTTGTGGTTTTCATTGCTGAATTGAACCATTATAAAACAAAAATGGATATAAATGAACTATTACAATGTATTACAAGTCAAGCAGAAATCAGCCAATTTTTAGTTAGTTTAGTATCACTGTGTGCAATTGTAAATAATGTTTAATACAAAGACAGCATTTATTGTGTTTGACAGCAGCGAGACTAAAATGAAATTGCACTGGGGGAGCCAAATGCTGTTTTAGCACGTGTCATTACACATAGCGTTTAAAAGACACATTCACACGAAGAAATATGGAAAAGTCTGTTATGGGATGCTTATGGGGGCATCTGTTACTTTGCTTTAGCATGACCATTGCTTAATCAGGGAGCAAACTTTCATGTGCTAGCACTGGAAGTGTGTGCTGACTGAACTGCAAACTGTGTGCAAGAGCTCCCTTACGTATTTAGTATGCCAGAGCACTAAATTGAAATGCAGTTTAAATGCGTTATGAAATTAACAGTGTAGCTTGCATAATGCTGATGGAAATGTACGTTGCCAATATTTTTGTTCCCTGTGCGTATGTTCTCATAATATGGTTAGGTATTGCAGCCGACTGCTTGTTGATTTTTGTTCCAATCTTTCAGGGAAAAAGTGACAAGGTGGGCAGAGAAGAGCCTTTCCTCATCGAAGAAGTTCTTTGAGCGGCTTCAGGATCAAGTTACATCTGCTGTTGCACCAGCAAAGAAAAAAACAAAAAAGAAAGATGCTGTTGTTGCTGCTAATTTTAAACTGTAAATACATGTATATAACATTCATCGTCTTGCCTGTATTCAGTCTGCACAAAGTGTATTTTGCTGTATAATGCATAAATAATTAAATTGTATTGACATAGACATTTTATAACAGTGAGACAGAGAAAGAGCGTATTTCAGTTGTTTTATGCATATCATCATCTTTTCACATGATGTCATTTTTTTTTACTTCATGGACATGAAGAAAGCTATGAAGAATTTGGGAGAATGTGGGTCAATAAATCGTTCATCACGCTGCCACAGCTCGTAGGTTGACCTTGCCTCATCTTCAGTAATATGTATCACAAGCAATGCTTGGGTGCCTTTACATGCCGGGCTTACTATGCAATTGGTTTCATGCTTGCAGCAGGATAGATTGCAAGTTGGTAGTTCATATTCAGTTCATCGAACTGGGAGCGTGGGAACACACAAAGACAATGAGAGCAGCGCTGACCCTGTGTGGCTCTTCTCTGTCGTGTGTTCCCGCACTCCCAGTTTGCTGAAAAAATATGTTCATGTAGCATGTTTTGGGGTTGGCAGGGTTGTGAGCAAGTGAGCGAAAAATCACAGTCTTATTGACTGTATGGTACCCAGCAAGAGTAGCAGAGGCTAGCTTGTGCTGATGTGATAGAACATGCCAGGGTGAGCAGAATTTGACCCGAGGCCACATGATAGCTGCAGAGGAGTGCCTATGATTGGCTGGAGCACTATTATACTGCAAACAGTGGTGGGTTTATGTGGTAATCTAGCATATTAAACTACAGCCCTGTGGATTGTGCCTTTGTCTTCTTGCCCTGTTCTGCCCTGCTCAGTAGATAATTGTGGGAATCGGAGCCACCTGTATTTATACTTGGTCTGGGAGAGTGGTTTTGGGTAGTATGTCGCACTGCACTGGCTGAGCACACACATGACTTATGTGTCAGTCCATTGTTACTCGGGGGGCCCTGCCGATCCTGCTCACTATATCCAAGCGCTGCAATGGGCTGGGTCTGACGGGATGCAAAGGTGAACTTGAAAATTAACGCTAGATTGATAACCGGTACTGTGTCATAATGCAGCAATTTGATCATGTAGAAAACTGCTTCAAAACGCATAGATAATATCTGGGGTTTAGCATGCCGTACCAGAGAATACCTTTGCCAAACTTCGATATGCTTGTGAGGCACACTGTAGTTGAGTCCTCCGGAAGTTTCAACAACCTGGTGTTCTTAAACGTGCACCGATATCGCACTGTACACGGGCCTCTAACATTTTGCCTTCATTGAATTGTCACCTTGACGGGCATTATTGAACCCGCGAGGTCAACAAACTTCACTATAGAAGCGCTCAAAGCAGAGCTGTATTCTACAGCTACTGCAACATCCATTATTGGTCGACCACTTTGTTGCGTCTGTATTTTACGGAAATTTTGTAATTTTAGTCAAATTCCTGGTATGCCATAGGTAGCAAATCTAGTGACTCCTTCCATTTATGGTGGTGCTTCAATGTTTATTTTGTTTAACGAAATATCGTAGAAAAGTCACAACGAAAAATGTTTCAGTAAATGATGCGGAAGCTTCTCCAAGGCTGTCTATACATAGTTGTAAACAGATACATATCCTTTTCATTATCTCTCCACCATTTTAAGGAGGTGAAGGAGGAAGTCATAAGCTTCGGTGCGCAACAAGTAGATTTTTAATTTATACCAGTATTGAGGGAAGATGGTGAACATGGCAAGGCCCCCAACATCTCAAGCAATCGTATGTAAATTTTGCGAGCTGTACTGCTATATATTTTATGTACTACAGTCGTACCTATAAAAACTTTGAAATCGGATATGATTACTATATCATCGGCTACTCTGAAGGCATACTGAAATATTCTTGTAAGACTCTTTGCAAACGATAGCTAAAAGTAGCGATTTCATGTAAGCTGTAGTTTGACTGCTTGAAATGGTACGTCAGATACGTCTACAAACTATGATATTTGCGTTTGTGGCGAAGCGGTGTATCGCACGACAAAATATCGCCGATTGCTTCTTTTTTCTAATTTTTGTAAATCTGTATAAGTATAAATATTATTGCGTAAGCGTAAGAAATTTCGTTCTTATTTATTAGGGCAAGAAACACGTGATCATTGGGTTAGTTCTGCTTCCGATGCGCTTTTTGGTGGCTGTCGCTCTCTTCACCGCAAAAATGAAAGTGAAACCATTAGCCTTGCCATCATCATCATCATCACTTCAAGAACGATACGTCACGTCACGTCGCTGTCGTCGGCTTCCAGCATGGCGCCCGTGTCACGGCTGGAAATAAACTTCTGCAGATTGTTGGAGCGGTGCGAAGTTCTTGCTGACGGGCGAGATCCCACAGACTGGCGATTCAAGAAGGTAAAAGGATCGATCTCGTGAATAAGTTACGCACAAGCTCTCCGAGTGGCGGCGTACAGACTATACGGCTGCACTGACGGCGTCGAGCTGGCGAGGAACAGTTTTGTTTCGTTCGTGCGGTCGCTGGAATACGACTCCAGTGGAACCTTGATATTCGGCCTTATTTCACTCCAATTGCCCAGCGTCTCAAATTTCGACAGGTTAATTACTCTCAGCTAACTGTCGACTCTTCGTGTGCGGCGATTCTCCCGGATTGGTTCGTAAGCCAACTTCTATTTTTACGAAATGCATGTATGCAATCAAGCAGCAGCCTTATCTGATGCGGCCGTGTTCATCCGTGAAATACTTGAGTAAATTTGCCGGTTTTGTTCCCTTTTGCGTGAAATTCTTATTGAAAAGGCGTACTGTTGTCCTGGGTGTCTGTACGGCGTATTCAGTGGTGTAGGGTGACGGCTACGAGTGATGAACCCGCCGCTTGCGCGGCTATGCTCGTGCGAGGTTATATTAGAGGGTTTGACGCTCGGCGATTGCGAACTGACGCAACAGGTGATTTACGACTTAATCCCTTTTATAGTGACTATCGAAAATTACAAATCCCGGTCACCCCGAGAGGATTAACTCAGTCGACATGTTTTTCAGTATGTTCAAAGCCTTGAAGACATGTTACTAGACCTGAGGAACATAAACACATGGTGAGTGCCTCTGTTCACATTTTTTTTTCAACAATGCACTGATGGGGTACGTTTTGCAGTCAGCCAAGCCAGGATACATTAGTGCATTACGCGAGCAAAGTCGACTTTCTAAAGCGCCTCATTGCTGTGGATACACAGGCAAGTATTGCGGGTTATATGAAGTAAATCGATTGTGAGTGCGTTTTTTAATTCGGAGCTAATACTTTTGGCAGATGCCGCGTGTGAGTATTAATTTTTTAAATAAATTGTGAAAGTAATTTCCTGAGGATGTTTTTTTTCCCCCCCAAACACTGCAGCCACACAGCAGTCCAGAAAAGGCTCTCGCCCATGAGCAACTTGCCTTAAAACCCGTCCCTGATGACAAGGCCAAGGAAATCCTGCTTAAACGGCAGACCAAGACAATACGTGATGTCCGCGAGGAGTTGCTGGAATCTCGAACTTCTGTTAAGACAAACGGTGAGAATGTTACAGGAGGAGAAGCAATTGGCTGCAGCTAATGAAATGTGCTCGCTTAGGAGAGTTTGCGTTGTGGATATGAATGTGCGAGTAGGTGTGTGATAATGTAGGTGCGGCGATAATGTGTATTGGCTTAAAAAAAGGGTTAGTATCGATGGGCACCTGATATATATTTTCCTTTTATATATATACCTAGCACTTTACATTCAGTTGTGCAGTTCTTAACTGTTCTCATTTTACACCTTTTTTTTTAATATTATAATTCTGAACTGTTTAGCAAGCGACAGCAAAGGATTGAGGCAACGAGTTCCTGGTCAGGGTGGTGGTGAAGATTTCGACTGCTGTTCTGCGCTACCACAACTCCATGCAGGAGAAGATTGCAGAGGAGATGGTCTCCTTGGCACAGAACCTGAAGCAGAATGCTTTGCTTGCTGGACACATTGTGAAGAAGGACACAGAGGTGACCATCTTGTTTTTGCAGTGCTTGTAGTCAAAACAGTTGCGTAGAACACTCAAAAAAATTCTGAGAGCAAGACGCATACGACAGCTGCACACAATAACACAAAACTGGGCACAGGTTGCTTTGTTTACCTGCAACACTTGAGCACTGGAAGTAGTGTAGGGGTCGTAAAACTTGACAGAAAACTCTAGGAGATGATAAATTCCTCATTAGCAATTTAGTGGAGTGTTTGAAACATTTTGTATTTACTGAAATAGTGGATAGCTGTTGGTAGTTAATAAGAACAGACAATGCCTTGGAAAGTATAGTGGATGTTATATTAGTAGGGTGACTCCACGAAAAATCAACACAGGTCCGAAATTTGATTGTTTAGGTTTGATTATTTTGTATTTTGTGCACATACCACCCAGTAGCCCGAAAGTGAACTTCAGTTTTTTTATTAACTGCATAATATAGGAGGAAAAAAATAGCTTAGTCTGTACGGAGGGACCAATTACGTCCTTTATCATTCTCAAAAGTTAGTGACGATATAAAAACACAAATATTAATGTCACGAAGACTGGTCTTAAATAAGTGTACACGTAATGAGAGTGAAGCAGCATTGTTTGAAGCGTGTGGGCTGAAGAAAACCGTTTTCGAAAAATGTCTGAACAGGCCACATTTTTTACAGTCGCTATATTGAGTATATTTGAGATTTTTTTTCTCCTAAAGTAAACCAGCCAGTGTTTCGTAACTTGGTGACCTATACAACATAATGTTTACAATATTGCCAACAAAGTGGAGGTTGTATCAACTTTGACCTTGTGCTGACCCACTTTGGTGAATTAGTAGCAATGACATTGCACAGAGTGCGCAAGTTTGATTCCCAACCCCCTCGTTCTCATTTTGATGGGGCTGAAATGCAAGAATACCTGTGTTCTTTTAAATAGAGCACTAAATAAACGAGGTATTAATTTAAAATGTTCCATTATGATATGGCTTGCAGTTGTATTCTGATTTGGCATACAAAACCCCTGAACTCAATTTAGGCCATCTGGGGTTCCTTAAAACGCGTCTTGATTACAGTGTACAGGCTATTAGCCCCATCATAATACAACCACTATAGCATTGACAGAGTTGAAACTGCCGCGTGATGACTAGTAGTGAGTAATAATAACAGCAACGTTAGAGAGGTTCTCAAACATGAGCCTGTACTGAATTGAAGGGTAGGCACAACAGATGTGTTGAAAATATGGAGAAATATTTTTGTTTCATGCTTATATAGGCTTGGTCGTCTCTTTAATCTTCAATGTAAAAAGTCGTACAGAAACAAACATTGAAGCGCTGTGTTTGCTTATTTGATTGCATGAATGTGCTTGAACAAGAGAACTGAATAACGCTGATATATATGTTTGAGGATTGATAAGCAGATGCACTAACTAATGAAAACATGTTGCAACTAGAAGCAGGAGTTTGAAGATAAAATGTCGGTAAATTTTGTTGATGTTTCTTATCAAATATTTTTTGCCACATTCGTCTGCCATCTGGGAAATTAACATACATCAAAACTATAGTATAAGCAAAGGGGCATTGGAAAAATAATTGTTGGTGGAGAACTCTGTAAGTTTCGGCCACCTGGGGCTCTTTAATGCACCGAAGTCAAAGTATATGGGACTCTAGCGTTCTCGCCTCGATTGAATATGTGGCCGCGGCAGTTCGGACTCGATTGTGCAACCCGTGAAGGCTTTAGGGGCCGTTCACGCGTTTCCCACACTGCCGCAACACACGTGCCGGGACCCTTACCGCATGCAAGCGGGGGACAAATAAGCCAATTGGCGACGCTCTTTCACCCTCCGCAGCATCGCCAATTGGCTTATTTGTCCCCCGCTTGCATGCGGCATGGGTTCCCGGCACGTGCGTTGCGGCTGTGCGGGTAGCGCGTGTAAAGGTCCTTAACCGATAAACCACCGCAGCAAGTAAAGGGCTTTGCAAGTTTAAGAAAACAGTTGTCGTGGTCCTAACACAATCTGCTTTGCTTGTTAAAGGGACACTGAAACGCTTAAAAAAAGAAAAGTGACATGATGCGTGATTTCGTGCGGCTGAACACGAAAATAAAGTCGAAAATTTGCATAAACCAGCGCAAATAACTCCATTTTGCCGAAAACAAGCGACAGGTGCCGCCATCGCGAGTCTCACCGCCGCTGTGATTGGTTGAAGCTCCATGACGTCACTGTCAGGAAGGTGAGGACAGGCTGACTGCGCTTGCCGACAGTCGCCGCCGCGTTTATTTGTTGAAATCGGGTAGTTGCCGTAAGTATCGCGAACCCCGAACGTCGGACCGAGTTTGCTGTACAACCGTACATGTTCGAGCCAGTCGCCACTTTAAAAGGGCGACGGCTGAAGCGGCACAGAAAAGCGAGTCTCAACCAGCCACCTTCACCCGCGTTGGAAACATAGACTGGCACGTATAAGATGCGTGCCAGTGCTAATTTCACTGTAGTAAACCATTATAAATGATACGCTTATCAGTGGATATTAAATTCGATAAGAAACAGCAGCATTGGCACTCGCTTTTAGCCGCGTAGTGGGACGGTCCGCGCTAGGCGCGGACAGCGTGCAGAAACACCAGCTGTTCGTGGATTTCACAGCTAAGAGCGCAGTGTTCTTAATGCAGTCAGTATCGTACTTCACAGCGGGCAAGGCGCGTGCGATGAGTTAGTATGCTATTGCGTGAGAAAAAATTGTGGGGGGGGGGGGGGGGGCGCAGACGAGTGCCGCTCTTGTCGCAGTGGTGATATGTGCTCTGAACAGCGCTGAAATTTGCGCAAGAATGGTTTGGCTTATATTGTATAATACCGTGACGTTTTCTGAATACTGCCCAGTACCACAGTGATGATGTGTTAAAATGCAAACGGTATGATTAACTGCGCTAGAAGCATGCAACTGTCGTGTAAACAGCCGATTTTAATTATGCATACTGATATCTTTGTACACATGTTTTCGCTACTTGTGCTCATGCATACACCGCGGGTAAATAGGGAAAGAGGAGGAGTGCTGCTGCTGCCTTGAAATTCGGCAGATTCACGACCGGCACAGCGCGCTTCATCTCGTAGGCTTGAAGATTTTTTTTTTAATTCAACTGCAGTGGCCCATTTTGCAACCATTTTCTGATCCCGGAAAAACTTGTTAAAAGCGTGCTCATCGCGATCATAAGGGCTGCGGCAGCCATATGCCGTGCCATAACTCGGCATTGCGAGTCCACTTGAACCTTGCACAAACACAACTCGTGAATGTCGCATGGCGAAAATATCTAATCAGAAGAAGAGAACAGTGCAATGAAAAGAAATCCTTACAAACTGGCAGAACTGATGCTTTGCCAGGCAGAAAATCGCAGCGAAACAAGGCATAACCACGAAGTAAACAAGCCGAGCTAACTGAGCGATGCAGGCGGCCCGGCACAAAGTTGCCCGATCCTAACGGTGACGTCGCCTCCCCGCCTGTCTATCTTTCCCGTGCTCCGCCGCTGCGCGCGTGTGCCAGTGGGGGGGGGGAAGGGGTCGTTTTTTTGGTCAAAGTTTGCTCTCTTATATCGCCGTTGTTAATTCAACATTGCGAAAAAAAAACATCCGTAGACATTTTGTAAGAGGTCACGGATACCGAATTCGGATAAATTTGTGAATTCGAAACCTTTTGTGTCCCTTTAAGGTTCTATTGTGTACAAGCAGTAATTTCACAAATGTGACTTTTATGGCGTTGCTAAACTATAAACACCGTGCTCACCTTCCAGGCTGTTGAGAAGAGTGTGCAATCTGCAGAACAAAACTACGAACGACTACAGAAGGAGCAGCGACGGCTTGAGGATCATCTACGCCGCTCGTGTAACTGCTGGATCTGGCTTATGCTTGCAGTTGTATTTTTTGTCTTCCTTAACATGGTTGTTTTCATGCGCCTTTTCCCAAAGCGATGAAGGTTCACACTCCTTTAGTATTACGTTGTACAATAATAAAGAATTTATTTTCTGCGCAAAAAACAGAGGCTTCTTTCCCACAGTTATAAAAATCTGGTTAGCGTTCCAAGATCTGAGGGCAGAGCAGTGTCTTCTTTGCTGCATGGTGCAGCCTCGAGTCCATTTTGACTGTAACAAACACATTATAGGTGGCATAAAACGCTGGGCATAAGTTATGCTGCGATGTGTGGCGTTACTCTTCATGGCTTTGACAGAAAAAGGGCACTACATTGCAGCGAACAGAATAGGCTAGAATTAGTAAAATGCAGTTATATAAGGCTGCACCAAATCCATATGAAGCTTAAATTACATACCAATCTACAGATCATAGGAAGCTGAAATTGAATGCCGATGACAAATCAAAACAAAGGCATTTCAGTGCCCCTACAGAATTCTTGTTCACAATCTAGACTGTACTACTTGTAAACTTGAGGACCTCAGATTCAGTTTAAGTTCTGTTCATTAACCAGATTATTAATGAAATCTATCAGACAATCATGCCAAGAAAGGTATAGGGGTCGTTGTTAGAATTGTAATGTAAATGTGAAGAAATAAAAGTGGACGAAAAGTTAACTTTCTGGGGGCAGGGACTAAACATGCGACCTTTAAATAACGTGTCCGATGTTCTACCAACTGAGCTACCATAGCGGCTGTTCCTATGTTCACTTTACGAGGTATGTATATGCATTAAACGTGGGAGTGTCAGTCAGCGCCGCCAGTAGGACAGTTTAAAGGGACACTAAAGGCAACTATATTAAGTTGACATTTATTGTTGAAATGATGGTCCAGAAACCTCGTACTGCTACTATTGTGCCAAGGAAAGGCCTATTTTGAAGTAAAACCACGTTTTAGTGGTCCATATCAGGTTAGCGCACTTCAAATCACCCGTCCCCAGGAAGCGGACCAACCAGACCGTCTCACATCACTGTTGCCGTGCACAACGTCGCCCGGCTGTACTGCGCTAGTAGCAGCAGTCTGAAATCAGCAGAAGCCATAACAGCACAACAACGCCCATTGATCAATTTCTCGCCATTGGCTTCGAGATTGCAGACGTTTTTCGTTTCAACTGAGCCCCACTAGATGGCACTACCTGTCCTGTGTAACCACGCGAAAATTGAATTTTCGAACCACTCGCGCCATTCCCCCATGGTTCTTTTTCCATGAATCAAACAGAAAGGAACAAGCAGCATTTTATTGCATCGCTTGATACACAGAATGTTCCTTATTTAGTGCAGATAGATCAATTACCAGTGATTAATTGTAGGCGGGCTCCCGATGTCATCGGGATCGTTTTGAAAATGTCCTACTGCGGCGCTTGGGTTCTTGTGCATTTACCTTGATTTCTCAGTAAGTAGGACACTGTTGCTAATAATATTGTCGTTTTAGATGTTGTCATACATTGACCTTTCTCTCTGACGTAAATTGTTATTGACATTCGACTTTAGTGTCCCTTTAATGCATATACATACCTCAAAGTTGACGGGGCATAGCCATCGTAGTAGCTCAGTTGGTAGAGCATATTGAGTTGGTAGAGTAGAGCAGTTGGTAGACCATTCGAAGGTGGCAGGTTCGGTCCCTGCCCATGGCCTTTTCTTTCTTCACATTTACATTACAATGGCTTCTAATAACGTCCCCTACACTTTTCTTGGCATGATTGTCGGATAGATCTCATTAATATTGTGTGAAACAAAAAAAAAGTCCTCCAATGTACACTTCCTTTCTAAAGCTCTCTAGTGTTGTGCCCTTTTTGCTTTATCATTAAATAGGCACTGATACAAAATTTCGACATTTTCTTTTTCTTTTTCCAATGTGTTGCCAGGAGCCCATTACCCATAACATAGCACATAGGTCGCTACAGCACACGAGATATATTTACAGCCTCTTTATTACTAACCAGTTTCAGTTTGCAAGAGCTCTGAAAACGACAAGCTGCCCAACTGTCACTTAGCCTAGGCTGTGCAACGTGGTAAACGAACTCGGCCACATGAGCAAACAGAACTTTGACACATTTCTGCATGCCCTGACGTATGCTGGCAATCTTTTTCCTGCATTAGCGCTACTGTTGTTTGTCATCCTGCAGCAACGATTTCCTTGAAGGCCTTCCATACGTTCAGAGCACGCATTGGCTTGAGGGCAGTCACCAAATATTAGTCTGTTGGCGCAAGCACACCAAGAAGAGTATGGAGACTGACGTTATCATTCCTGGCTGTGACAGCTTGGAACTTGGCTGCAGCTGTGAGGTCGCGTTTTCAAGAAACCTGAGGCACTGTCAACATCGCGTGGTGTAATATATGCATAGTGCATGTGCACTTCAATGTTCATATAATTATCTTCCAAGTCATTGTAACTGTTGATACTCTGGTAGCTGGTATATGCATGTTCTCGGAAATCGATCCTATGAGCAGCTAAATTGCAGGTAAGTGCCTCTTTAACTGTCTATAAGAGTAGTTTCAAGCAACCTAGTAAGACACACACAAAAAATAAAACAGTTGCTTAAGCAACTGTTTTAACACCTTGTACACTTACAGATTTTGTGTTGTCCTTTCATAGGAAACTTTGTTTTCAGCTCTTGAGGTTCCTTACATATCAAGACAAAAGGAGAAAAGCATTCTCCAAATGGATACTGAAAGAGGCAAAAAGAAACAGTAAGGTTAGATGGGATAGCTGGGTGCATTGGTTTAGCATGTTCAGAGGCAAAAGCTGCAAAGAAGACAGCGAATGAAAGGATAGATTGATAGATATGTGGGGTATAACGTCCCGAAACCACCATATTATTATGAGAGACGTCGTAGAGGAGTGCTCCGGAAATCTCTACCACCTGGGGTTTTTTAGCGTGCACCCAAATTGAGCACGCGGGCTGCATTTTCGCTGCCATCGAAAATGCAGCCGGAATTCGATTTCGCGACCTGCGGGTCAGCAGCAGAATACCTTAGCCACTAGACCACTGTGGCAGGGCACAAGTGAAAAGAATTATACTCTGTGTGTGTTTACCCCTTTTTTGTCGTCTTTTTGCACCTTTTGACTCGGGAGAAACAGTGAGACTGCCTAGAAAAAGCAGTGTGCTAGTTCTCTAATGCATAACATTAATAACTCAACTTGTAAAAACTGCTGGTATTAACGAAGGTGATGCAACTTTTGATAATTGCATGGACTAGGATAATTGGTTAAAGAGAGAGAGAGAAAGAAAACCATTATTCTTCTTCAAAACACTAGTGAATCAACGCTTAGGATAAGGGAGCTTTCCATTCAGCCCTACATGGCTTTTGACGCCTGTCTATCAGCTATTATATGTAGCACACATACAAACACATGCACAAATGTGCTTAAAGGGTCACACTGATAAGGATTATATAATTGGCAACATCAGTGGCAACTATCTGGACCTGAATTCAAGAAAGAGCTACGGAAAAGCATCAGACGAAGCTTTCTTACAAAACACTTCAAATCAGCTCATACACAAACTCTTCTCATCTATGCCTCAGCAGCACGTTTTGCTGCTCCATGCCATACAACTATGCCAGTGCCCCTTTTTTTCTGTTTACGTAAGTGCAGCTTATCACGTGTGATGTATGCATGCAGTAAAAACTTTTAGGTCACTGCAGCACTAGAAATAACTGGAACTCTTTTGAGACAAAGAGGGGCACCTGTTCACGGTAGATGTCCTGGGGCAGACAGTCAACAAGATTGACACATCCCAAGAGGCAACTCGTCGGGTACTCTTCCGGAAATTTCAGTTCTTCGGACTCTACCATGGAGAGGGAGAGAAAAAAAATATATTATAAAATTTAAGAGGACAACACTTCTTGACAGTGTTTTCTCACTCTGTTTGAAACAGAGGCTAAAAATAATTTTACATTTGTTTTAAACAATGTTTTAAAGCTAATATAACCTACTCTGCAGCTTTATGCAGCACTCTGTCAAGATACTTCAGAGAGATTTAGTGTACAGTTGAATTTATAGAGGAGAGTTGACTTGTTTGTCGCACAATACTGGAAATTTTATCCTCTACAATGTTTGCCATTATATTAGCTGCTCTACCGTGACTCGGCCAGTGCCTTTCCCAGTAATTTGACAAAACTGTTCACACAAGGAAGGCTTAAATCAGAAACATTGCTTTAGGAAGGAGATTCGTTATCGGGGCCTTGTTCATATACTGCTGAGCACAGTTTCCAGGCTGAAAAAACCGAAAATAGCCAAGAAGTTGGAGAAACTAACCAGGAAGTAGCCATGTGCACGTGAGAACAATGGTGACCTATTCATTTACATTGCTTATTGCAAAAGCCTTTTGGGTAATATTTGCATGATGATGAAGTCTGAACAGCCAATACTCCCAAGTCGTAGGATATTCGGTTTCTAATGCCTGTGAGTGCAGAGCGCCCAGAATGCGGAGTGCTTTCAATTGCACTCCTCGCTTCGGATTACGATTTGAAGCCTCGTCCACCAATGGGTGGTTTGCAAAATGAGGTCCCACGTAAAAAGCATTCTCCGAGGCTGAGCCGCACATCTTCAACCCCTTTTCTTTTGAGTAATGCAAGCACCTGGTAACACACCTTAGCCACCATGTTTTTACAATGCATAGTTTTATGCCAGTGGCTGGAGAGTAACCTAATATTGATAACCTGGTTTCAAGTCAGGATAAGAACAGCGTAACCAAGAAGTAGAAATAGTGCCCAAGAACTTTTTGTCTGTCCCCACTGGCCTAAAAGAGTAGCTGAATTGGCACAAAATAGTGAAACCTGGCAACCCTGCAGTTGAGCAATTCAAGCGCTCATGACAACAGCGTATTTTAACTTACTAATAAAACAATGAAATACAAGCACCCTACCTTTGACAATCTTGCGATAAATGCCAGTCACTTCACTGATGTCTTCCGGTGAGGGCTGTTTGCTGGCTGCATGGATCCACAGACGACCCCTGTACTCTGTGAACCAAGCACGCCCTTCATGCCTGCAAAAAGTAAGGTGAAAAATTAGAGCTGTGCGAACAGCACAGTTTTGGGTGCAAAGCCAGTTTGAATATTGAAGCGTGAGTGCAAATCAAATCGAATATTTTTGAGTATTTATAAAATATTTTTAGAATATATTTGTTTAGTAGGTTGAAGTGAAATTGTGGGGGTAAAATGTTGGAGAGGATTCCTAATCATATACGTAAGAGATATCATCATCATCAGCCTGACTACGTCCACTGCAGGACAAAGACCTCTCCCATGTTCCGCCAGTTAACCCGGTCCTGTGCTTGCTGCTGCCAATTTATACCCGCAAACTTCTTAATCTCATCTGCCCACCTGACCTTCTGTCTCCCCCAAACCCGCTTCCCTTCTCTGGGAATCCAGTTAGTTACCTTTAATGACCAGCAGTTATCCTGTCTACGCGCTACATGCCCGGCCCATGTCCATTTCCTCTTCTTTATTTAAACTATGATATCCTTAACCCCTGTTTGTCCCCTAATCCACTCTGCTCTCTTCTTGTCTCTTAAGGTTACACCTACCATTTTTCTTTCCATTGCTCGCTGCGTCGTCCTCAATTTAAGCTGTACCCTCTTTGTAAGTCTCCAGGTTTCTGCTCCGTAGCTAAGTACCGGCAAGATACAGCTGTTATATACCTTCCTCTTGAGGGCAATCTGGGTGCGGCGATGGCGTAGTGGTTAGAGCATCCGCCTCGCATGCAAGAGGTCCGTGGTTCAAATCCCGGCGCTGAGCAGTTCCCAACCGGATAAAAAAAAAAAAAATCCGCGTGTTGATGGAACTGCATTAAGAGGCCTGGGGTGCGGCCTCACTGGTAACCACCGCCGGGAACGCACTCCCTCACCAGAGAAGGATTGGCCACCCTGGTGCAGTATCTGGCCACTACTTCCCACATGCATAGGTCAAATAACTTAAGAGATATAACAACATGAAAGCATTTCCTCTTTTCACTAGACTGATGAAGAACTAGCGAGCTGGTATTTAATGGTTGCCTTATCAAGAATGAGGCAATAGAAAAGCCAAATCGCATTAGCAGATGATTTGGTGCAACCAGAGTGTTGCCGAGACCACTACACATGAAAGGCAAAGATGATGTTTTCTCAGCCTCCCATCCTCTTTCAACTTCTGACAAGCCCAACTGATGTGGCCGACAAGGGCTCCTTTTGAGTTAGGAGTTTTAAATACACGTCAACATAAAACACCTTGAAAGTTTGGTTGCTAAAAGTCCTTGGCCTCCAATTTATCGAACTTGTTGCCAAATCTTGGGTCCAAAAGAGCATTAACTGAGCCTCCACTTCTGCCACATTTATATCTCCATGTAGGAACCAGCGTTTTCTTGAGTCAATACATTTGCAACCATTGCAGAGCTTGAAAGGCAGCTTTGCTGCAATACGGGAGTGTAATGAGGTGAGGCATATTACAACACTGATGGGGGTCACTTTTAGCTGGACTTTGCCTGCATTGATCTTTGGGAAGTTCGAATAATTTGAAAAATGTTTGAAATTTCGAATATTCACACAGCTTCATAGAAAATACATCAGACTAGCATTCATTTAAATTTACGATGACAACGAATTTATGTTAGTAAATCGGGGTTTATTGGCGTAATAATACTTGCACAGCAGATCTATTGATACGAAAAGCGGGCAGCAGCTACCTGACACACGAATCAGCAGCGCTCGGGGCAACAGCTTGCGCTCGGCTCCTCTCGCTAAAGTCGTGACCCACTGCGGCACATAATCTTCTTCCTCTCTACAATACCCCGGCGACGAAGACGAGCCATCCTTGCAAGTCAAGGTGACGAAAGTAGGAGTGGGTCGTGATAGGGGTTGACATGTACTCACGTGGACAGTTTCACGACCAAGGCGGCACCTGTCTGTAGCTGGCGTGACCGGCTCGATCACGTATGTGACATGAGATCAACGTTCGACGACGCCATAAGGACAGTGAAACTTGGGGGCAAACTTAGAGGACAGACCTGGGGAGTAGAAGGCCAGTCGGAGCCAGACGAGCGAGCCTACGGCAAGAGTCTTGAGTTGCTGGTCGCGGTTCTGGCAGTCTTTTTCGAGTGCTTGCTTGTCCGAGGTGAATGATCGGGCCAACTGACGACACTCTTCAGCGTGGTGCACTATTTCAGAAAAAGGGTTGAACTCTGAGACGTCAGGATGATGCAGCAAAATGGTGTCAAGGGTGGAGCATGGCTCACGCCCATATAGAAGAAAGAAAGGTGAGAAGCCTGTGGTTGACTGCGTTCGCGGTGTTGTATGCATGAGTCAAAAATGGGAGAATGACATCCCAGTTCGATTGGTCGGAACTGACATACATGGAGAGCATGTCTCCTAGCGTTCGGTTGAAGCACTCAGTTAGACCGTTGGTCTGTGGGTGGTAGACTGCAGAGGTGTAGTGAACCGTGCGGCATGACCGAGGAGTTGTACAACTACGGATAAAAAGACACGGCCTCGATCACTTAGTAGTTCACGTGGTGCACCGTGACGCAGTACGAAGCGTCGCAAGACGAAATTGGCTACGTCACGTGCACCAGCCGTAGGTAGTGGAGCTGTTCAGCATACCTTGTCAGATGGTGACGGCGACAATGATCCATCGATTTCCAGCGGCAGTGTACGTAAGGGGACCATATTGCTACGTTCCATTTCCCAAGTTTTTGTTATCGTCCCAAAACACCACACCAAACCGCGCCTGCAGTTTTCGAGAAGGTTCCAGACTGTAGTAGATCATTTCGATAAGATCACGCCCACTGTGCGAACGGTACAGATTGTTCTGGAACCTACGCCACCGCCAGCGATAACGCTAGAACATTCGACGGCAAGAGTATAAATGCCGACGCGCTTCGCCACTTGTCAGTTGTTGATCGAAGGCCGACGCTCCGTTCGCCGCTATCAGTCCGAGACTGCTATCTGTGCGAGACTGCTGCTGTAATTGGACTTTCCGTTTACCGGGCACAGGTTCGCCCAAATAAACAGTTAAATCCCAACACAAAGTCTCCTGTCTTCGGCCACGTCACGACCCCGTGACATCTGGTGTAGGTGCTGCTTCGTTCATGTACCGGACGCCCCCGTCAAGCCGTGAACCCAGCCCACGTCGCGGAGAAGACACCGACGCCAACCAGGAGCAGCGAACAAGCCGCCGACAGCAAGGGCTACGACCGGAGTACGGGCTTCTACAAGACAAGGCGCGGAAGACCAAGGCCATGACCGCGACTGCAGCGACAATGACAACCGCAGCGTCCCAGCCCACGATGGTCATGCATCAACCCAGGGAACCACCAATTTTCCATGGGTCATCGTTCGAAGACCCGGAGTCCTGGCTAGAAACATACGACCGTGTGGCCGCCCTCAACCATTGGGACCATGACGAAAAGCTGCGTCGTGTGTTCTTCTATTTGGAAGACACCGCAAGGACCTGGCTCGAAAATCGGGAGTCCACGCTCCGAACGTGGGATGTTTTCTGCGGCGCATTCCTGCAAACGTTCGCGAGCGTCGCTCGCAAAGAGAAGGCCGCTGCTTTATTAGAGACCCGGGTTGAGCTACCAAATGAAAATGTCGCCATTTTCACAGAAGAAATGACCCGACTATTCCGTCACGCTGACCTAGACATGCCTGAGGAGAAAAAAGTACGTTTCCTCATGCGAGAGGTCAAACAAGAGCTCTTCGCGGGAATGATGAGAAACCCACCGAAAACTGTCCAAGAATTTGTAGCCGAAGCGACCACTATCGAAAAGACCCTGGACATGCGCACCAGACAGTATAATCGTCGCCTGACTGCAGACTGCGCTGCTGCTTAAGCCAGTAACTCCGGAGACCTGCGTGAAACGATCCGAGCGATCGTGCGGGAAGAGCTGCGCAAGCTGTTGCCTTCGGCGCAGCCTCAAGTGGATTCAATCGCCGACATTGTGCGAGAAGAAGTTCGGCAATCGCTTCAAATTCACCCAGCACCTCCACAAGACGCTCGCCGACATGCTGTAAAATGTACGTCGATTTCGAACACAAGACGTGGGACGGCATTCTTCCGTATGTGACCTTCGCATACAACACGGCGGTGCAGGAGACAACGCAGATATCTCCATACAAATTGGTCTACGGAAGGAGCCCGGCCCGGCAATGACGCTCGATGCCATGTTACCTAACGTCATCGACGAAGAAAACCTCGATGTGAGCGAGTACCTTCAACGCGCCGAAAAAGCCAGACAACTTGTGCGTTTCCGTATCAAGAATCAACAGACGACCGATAGCCACCGTTACAACTTTCGACGATGCTTCGTGGAATACCAGCCCGGTGAACGTGTTTGGGTTTGGACGCCGATACGCCGACGTAGACTAAGTGAAAAGCTTCTGCGACGGTACTTCGGACCGTACAGGGTGGTTCGACGTCTCGGCCCACTTGATTACGAGGTTGTCCCCAACGGCATCACGAACTCTCAACAACGCCGATCGCGACCTGAAGTCGTCCATGTCGCGCGCCTCAAGCCGTTTCATGCGCGTTAACAAACTGAAACAGTGTTTTTTTTGTATTATTGTTATATAATAATTTATTTATTGTACTTTCTTGCATTATTATTGTACCTTCATCTTTAGTTAAAGCATCGGGACGATGCCTCTTTTCAGAGGGGGGCAATGCCACGTTCCATTTCCCAAGTTTTTGTTATCGTCCCAAAACACCACACGATTCTCAGCGCAAACCGCGCCTGCAGTTTTCGAGAAGGTTCCGGACTGTAGTAGATCATTTCGATAAGATTACGCCCACTGTGCGAACGGTACAGATTGTTCTGGAACCTACGCCACCGCCAGCGATAACGCTAGAACATTTGACGGCAACAGTATAAATGCCGACGCGCTTCGCCGCTTGTCAGTTGTTGATCGAAGGCCGACACTCCGTTCGCCGCTATCAGTCCGAGACTGCTATCTGTGCGAGATTGCTGCTGTAATTGGAATTTCTGTTTACCGGGCACAGGTTTGCCCAAATAAAC